CCTCTACTCTGCCCTGGTGAGACCTCACCAGCAACGCTGCATCCAGCTGTGGAGCCCCCAGCACAAGAAGGATGTGGACCTGTTGCAAATATGATCAGAGGGCTGGAGCGCCTCTCCTATGAAGACAGGCTGAGAGATTTGGGGTTGTTCAGCCTGGAGAGGAGAAGGCTCCTGGGGGACCTAATAGCAGCCTTCCAACGCCTGAATGGGGCCTATAAGAAGGCAGGGGAAGAACTGTTCCCAAGTGTTTGCAGTGATAGGACAAGGGGCAATGGTTTTAAGCTAGAAAAGGGCAGATTTAGATTGTAAAAAGTTCTTTAATATGATGGTGGTTGATCACTGGAACAGGTTGCCCAGAGAGGCAGTGGAAGCCCCATCCCTGGAGACATTCAAGGTCAAGCTTGATGGGGCTCTGAGCAACCTGACCTAGTTAGAGATGTCCCTGCTTATTGTAGGGGGGTTGAACTAGATGACCTTTAGAGGTCCCTTCCAACCCAATACATTCTGTGGTTCTAAAACAACATATAGATAAATTATTCCCACAAAGAAAGCTCATACATTAGGGATTCCCTCTGAATACATCCTTATTGTCATACAAGAGAGACAGGTTATTGTGCACAGAAATGTAACCTACCAAATTCCAGCAAAACACATTTTAAGCAGCTCTGTGTATTAAAACCTGTGAATTTCAGACTAACCTGATCTGTCATGATCATAATTTTTCCATATCTCAAACTTTTCAGAGATTCTGGATCTTCATAGCTTTTCTTATACTGTAGTCCAACTATTTTGATGATGTTGTTGATTTCTGCATTTTCCATAATCTGTATAAAAAAAGTTATTGTTGCAATCAGCGTTAAAACAGAAATTCAGAAATATCCCAATCTTTTTTAGCTGGGCTTTATAGCTACTTTTTCAATGCATCCTTACCTCAACTTTGTAACCTTTTTATCCCCAGCCCCCTTGCAGCCTTCACACTTGTAAATATTTCTTCTGTACATGCACATTCTCAAGACTGTACCACTCCCTTTCTCCTCTACAGCCAGAGCACTTTGGGTCCAGAAGACAGGGAGAAAAGTGCATGTAACACAAAGTCTTCTCACAAAGGTGCCTTCTCTTTCCACTATTTCTATGGGCATTTGCAACATAACTTACTATACACAAAGTATGGAAGGCAGCAGAAGTAATGTGATGGGGTAATGCTGCTGCTACCGCCTCACATTGGGAGTCAATGAAATCACATAGCAATGGAGAGAATATAACATTTTAGAGTTTTTGAAGTGTTCATGTAAAATGTTAGTATAAGTCATAGCAGAATTTCCTTGCACTCGTGAAGAAATAAAATTTATCATTCCAGTACTGTACTTATTAATTCAATTTTTGATTTATTAAACTGTAAAACACTTAATGTTTCCAGGCTTATCCCAGGCTTTAAAGTAGCTGGTACTTCATGAAATCCCAGCCACAAGATTTTAATGAAAAAAAAAAAAACTAAAACACGAAGCTGTAAGCCTAGAAACCAGAAATAAACAGGAGGCATCCATCTGTCAGCTAAAAGGAGATGACAAGACTACTCACCTGCTTGTGAGAAGCTTCTCGAACATTGAGAATTTTACCCCTGAGTGGGAATACTCCGTATCTGTCTCTACCAATAACACCTAAGCCAGACACAGCTAAAGATTTGGCAGAGTCTCCTTCTGTTAATATTAACGTGCAGTCCAAGGAATGTTTGCCACCTGTGGTCCAGGAAGAAGTAGAAGCAAGGCAAAAAACCAGAAAGTGTAACTTTTAAACTCAAATAATAGAAATATAATTGCATCAGTCATGAATATTCTTCCTGCTCTACATCAGGTAACTTTAATAGGCTGAATTTCTATTTTTAGGGATGGCCGTCCGTAACATTAAAACTACAGAACAAGTATCCCTGCTCTTAGCAGCACACTACGGATTGCTGTGGACAATGAGCAAAATAGACAAAATGGGATGCAATGGTGGTGCATCTTACGTAATGGTCCACGCATATCTGCACGAAAAAAAAGGAAAGAAAAAGAGATTGCTTCTGTACCTTTAGCATTTCAGTTTTCTAGCAGCAAATTTATTACACATATACATTACATATGTCTTAGCTATACACAGGAATTACTTCCCATTCTGCATTTCCCCTTTCCTCACAGTTTATTTTCAGAAGTAACTTATTAAATTACATTTTTGGGGGGTTCTTTTTTTATTGTCCATCGGCTGAAGCCAGGCAACTGTAAGAAAAACTTGACAGAAAAGCTCAAAAGATCAGAACATTTGCACTTCTTACACATTCTCAGAAATTTCTCGAACAGAAGAAACAAATCTTTACTAATTCTGTAATTCTGATTCTAACACACTGCATTTTGGTGCCTGTGTGTCCAGTGCACTCAAGATTGGTATGACACGTATATTCTGTTTATTGCAACTGCAATAGTGGAATAGATGTTCTAAATAATAAGAAGGTTCAAAAAAGGAACCCACCCTTTTCCAAATGTGCAAATTCTCATTAAGCAGTTTTGTTATTTTATCAAGGCCAAATGGTAGGAAAAGACTGCAAAAAAATAAGTACTTGTTTGAATCTTATCTACTGTTAATAGGATAATTTTGTATATATTGGCATTTGAAATAGATGCTTCGATTTGCCTTTACCTGGTATGTAGAAACAACCCTGTACTTCCTAATACACAGAATTTACATTCAACATCTTTGGTCTTCTGAATCAGACATATGGCTTAATACGATCTAAATTAGGCAGCTATTCACATTATATCAAAAGGTGTCAATAGCTACCATATTATCAGCAAGGTGGAATCCAAATACCAAGAAAAATACTAGTCTGCTGGTTTAGAATATGAGGACCATTTTTTTTTTCCTAAATAAACTTCAAAAAACCACCTGAATATCATCCAGGTGCACTTTCTCCTGGAATGGATGTGATCATTAGCAATTAATTTCATGGAAACACAATGTGCCAAGTATTTTCCTAAACAGCTCTAAAAAACTCATAGAAAACTGCATGTACTGGCAGGTCTAAAGAATGTTTTTATGCTTCACCAGATTTAGTAATCTAGCTGCTCCCCTACAATCCTATGTTCCTATTCCTGGTTCTTTGTTTCTCCTTTAATTTCTACCTCTTCTTCTCTAAAAAGCCATAGAACGACATATACCTCATCAAGATCTCAAGAAAGCAAGAATGACCAGGCATAGAACTCAGTACCTTATTCTTTTCAGTGACAGAGGAAATCTGCAGCAAGTACATCACTGTACAGGTACATCTCTCCTATTCCTAAGTATTAACCAGTATTGATTCAAAAATTCAGTGGTACCTGGCACCCAAGAAACCTGTGGATGCTGGACCTCAGCTACAAATTCACTCTTGAAGTAAAAACTAAAGTCTAAAAACCACAGGAAGAATTACTCTGTGGCCAGACAGTATTCTCTCCGAGCTGCACTGGACTACTTCAGTCCAGCAGCTACTGGCACCTGCTATCAGAAACCAAAGCCAACTCTCTTCCCTCTTCTAATTTGGGGTGCTTATGAAAGTGTAATTCCTGGGATCCTTAGAAATATTTATTTGTCCTGAAACACATCTACATCAAGTAAGACTACTGTATTTTGCTGCCAGATTACAGATAACCTTTGTGTGACATGTACAAATGTCCTGAAGCAATCTCCCTGAAACTACATTTCATGCATCAGTTATCTCCAGCTTATGGGGAGTTCTGAAATTCTTTTCAAAAGACTATTTATAACTGTGTAACTCTTCACAATATGCTTAGTCATGCGCACATTCATAGCAAACATTCATACAGCATAGCTGAATTTTTTGGACCTAGAAGAAGCGATCATCACCTCTCATGCACAGAAAGAGCACATACAGTCCTTACTTCACCTGATCCTGAGAATCCCCAGTCCTTTCTATCAAAATCCCAGAGACAGAAAGAAAGATTGATAGTTCTACAGTGTTTTGTCTCATTAAAGAATTTCCATGGCACCAGGACTTCCTTTTCCCCTTACATTAAGAAACATCAAGCTTTCAAGTCAGATGGAGTCACCAACTAAAGTTCATCGAGACAAGTTCTCACGAGCAGAGCAACCAACACACACTCAGCCACACTGAAAGAGTCAGTCTTCTGTTTCATCTTCTGCCTTCCCTTTCTCAATGAAAGCAGCTTTTAATGGAGGTCAGAGATCCTGATTGTAGTATTAGCTTAGTTCTTGCACAGAAAGAACAAAAACATTCCTATTGATTTTCAAGAGCAAAGAGATGATCCATATGGTACCTTCAGTCTTTAAAAGGAAAGGACTAAAGAACTTTTTACATGCATTACTTGTGATCCTCCAATTTAAAACGTCTCTGCCAGTATATGTAACACTTCATAAAGTCATGCCAAGTGTGCATATGACAACACACACTGTATTCAGAAACTGAATGCCTCTCTGCCTTCCTGTGTGTCCACCCCGAATGTGCAACGCTTTCAACGTGAGGAATCTAGTATGTTTCAGTTCATCAATAAATCAATACCTGCGTAAGCCTCTTTGTGAGAAGCAATGTTCCTGCTCTCCATGTAAGATTAACTAGGCAGTAGAGAAATACCTGGGCAACAGGGATCCAAGCCATGCAATACTAAGCATCAGTGTTGAGCCCAAACGAATCCCTGCATGCCTTCTTAGCTGAGGAAGTTTCAGGGTGAAAGGCAATATAGTATTTTATTAGCTCCCCTGCTAGCAATTCTTCCTTCCCCTCACCCTCAGTGAAAAAAACTGAGTAAGAAGTGATTTTGAAGCCCTGTCTCCAAAGCAGAGCAAAAAAAAAACCTATGAAGAAAGTGTATCCAAAATCATTCATGATGTTATTTATGAGCACCAGGATTGATACCCATAAAAACACAGCATTTCTCCAAGCACAAGATCTTCCAGGCATGAAAAATACCAGAAACATCCATCTAAGGAGTACAAACTCCACAAGCAAAATGCTAGTTAAGAGAGACATGGTTATCAACTTTTGAGGCTAAATATGACATCTGAATCACTGGAAAAGTAATAAAATACTGAATAAAACTCAATAAAAAGTAATAAACTGAGCCAAATTAATCAAAAAGAAAGGGAGGAAAATTAAACAGAACTCATCATCTCTTCAAGTCATCTTTGACTTGAATACTGAAGCTCAAAAAAGCCACTTTACCAGTCTTACATGCTTTTTACCTACTTAACCCACCCACCTACTTCATTGCAATTTCTCTATCTTTGCTTAATGTAAGAATACATTAAAAATCAACTAACATTAACACAGACTGGCAACATTTCAAGCTCATTAGTCACATGCGCCCCTCAAATAATTCAAGGACAACTCTCCTCCCATTGCTATTGCCACAACGATTGCCAGCTGATCCCGATTGCCATGTGCTAGGAACCAAGCCAGCAGAGATTGCCAGTTTTGCCCCATATCCCCAGACAGGAACCTAATGGCATTTAAAGTCTGATGAACCATTCCCCCAGGTCTGTACGCTATGGGATCTACTTCCTATAGCTGGTGACCCCATATAGATTCTGATCTTTTTATATTAGAAAGGTCAAGACAACTAGTCACCTCCAAAATAGAATACTGGTAACACTATTTAGCTGGAGACCACAATTAGAAAGTACACTGTCTTTCAATATGGAACTAGACTGCTGCTTTTGTTCAGCATTATTAATTCTCTACCGTAGAGAGGGTTGTGTTCCTAACATCAAACTCACCATCATGCTTTAATTCTAGCTCTAGAAAGTTTAGAAAACTAGAAATATTTTTATTTAAAACTATACACAAGGATAAGAAATAAAGTCAGATTTAAAATTATGATCCCTGTGAAAAATATATGAAACATTCAAAACATTACAAATAAGTGCTCTTACCAGCATCATTAGCATCATCCAGTTTCGGAATGCCCTTGATTTTACTGTGTTTCACTGATGAACATTTTTTGTTCAGCTGAGTTTGTGCCTTAAATTTGACCCAATTCAAAATACTCTCTATGATACCGCAGTTAGAGGCCTATAAGCAACAGATCAGAATTATGGATGAGAAAAGTAAAGCTTCACACAGCAGATTGTTATCTCTCAATTTTAAGTCACTTCACTTCTCAAAGCCCTCTATATTTTAAAAACTGCACCATGTAAAAGGTCAAGGAATTAACACATACCTTACTAACATTTTATGCACGTAAAACCGAAGGACAACACTCACACAGCTTCTTTTCCACCCCTTGTATAATTGGTGGGAGGAGGAAAAGAAGACTGAGACCTACTAACAGGTTGTCTTATGTTGTGTGGTTGATGAGCTGAGACATTTTAGGTACTAAGCACCTGCTTCCCGGACTTTCGCAGTAAAAAGTAACCTTATGGGATATTTAATGACCATTTAAAGTTTCTTTAGAAATTACTGAAAACAGCTGAAAGATAATCAAAAGCATTTAAGAATAAAGCTCTATATCAACCACTTGAGAAACTGGTAACATTTTAAGAAACAAATCTGCAGCATAAATAGCATATAGCATATTTTCTAAACCAAAACTGCTTTAGGTTTGGTTTCACATCAAAAGAAAATACAGGTGGAACAAAATACTGTAAGTTTTGGCTTCTCATTATACCCCATAATACAGCACTTATTGGCTAGAGATTCAGCTGCACATTTAACACCGCTGGAGATCAGTGTTCACTTCTGGGAACATCAGAAACACTGTAAATCAAACCTACTGACAGAAATACAAGATCTATAACAAAATCTGAAGAACTAATACAAGATTGTCTTGTGTTATTTTTCCCTGCAAGTTCTGTAAGAATGTCACCAGTAACATAGAATTAGAAGAATAAACCACTATACAATAAGTTAAGTTTTGATGCCAAGAGCATTAGCAGTGGCACCATTCTCCTTATTACTGGACTTACATTTATGCTACTGGCACTAAATAGGACTTAGTATAATGAGTTCTGACTAACAGAATTCTACTTTTCTTTCCTTGTATAAAAATGTAGTAGAGAAAAAACCTCTACCATGTATTTCTACTAATACATTCATTTAGAGTAGCAATTCTTAGCCCATCTACAGCCAGAATTTCTAAACTTGTTGCCTGAGAACAATGAATGATCACTTTGAATACTGCAGCCACAATTTGGCATTTTCCTTGATTACTGGAAGAATAAGTAAATGTGACATGTTCCTTCCCTCTCTTTTCAATTTAGTGAAAAAGACTGATATGAAAGAATAAGGTAGACAATATTCTTAACTTCAAAAAAATATTTTAACAAAGAAATTAGTCAACGCCTATATTTAGGTTTTAAGAGTCAAATTCATTTCGCCGATGTAAATACCAGAATATCCAACAAAGGAGCTGATCAGGTGAAGCTAGCTTTTTCATCCAGCGCAACAGTCAAAACACAGTCATTGCTTCCATTATTAAGGCCACAGAACGAACAGAAGTTCCTCCATCCCATTTTCATAGTACGCTAATGTCACCAGAGTACCATAAAGCACTAATTAATCTTCTGCTATGTAACATACGTACACTTGACCCAGCATGTCAATTTCTGCTTCACAGAAGAAAAAAAAAAAAATTTTACTTACTGCTTTAAAAAATTTCTCAGATAGCTGACACTTGGACCCAAAACTTTTAGGCTGCAATGTCATGTTTTCCTTTGTCTGGGAATCAAAAGATGGGTTTTCAATCAAGCAATTAACAAAAACCCATATATGATTCTTCACCTGTTGAAAACATAGAAATCAATTTACTCAACAAAATTACCACATTCATTTTTTCACTATTTTTGTATAAAGTTACTTGCCTGAAATGGTTTCACTGAAACTCCAGCTTTGTTCTTCTTTTTCACCACTTCTATCAGTTTTCCCACAACCTGATCCACCACGTAATCAACATGCCTACCACCCTTAACGAGGGAAAAGAAAGAAAGAAAGAAAGAAAGAAAGAAAAAAAGAACAAATCCATTGAATTTCCTCATAGCTTTTAGCCATATTAACAAAGTTCCTGTAGTCATACTTAAATGTGGAAATCCATGCACATTAAATCACAGCATAACAAAGGAAAATTTGTTCTAAAGTTTCTCATTCATGTCATTTAGTTTTCATACAAGTGAGGATGATGGATGTTGCATGGAACAGAAGAAGCAGGAGACCTTTCATTCACTGTACAGTAGTGGACTTCAAATGTAGCTGCTTACAGCTTGTGACAGGATACAAAACCTTAAGAATATGGCAGGTCGGAAGATTACTCTGTAG